ATTTTCAGCTCCGACATCTGACTTCAAAGGAAACTCGAATGCAGCATTGTTATTCATTTCTTCTGCTTATTTCTGATTGGTTGATATCAGCTGTCAATCAATCCCTCTGTATGGGCTTCATTATCATTTGACAGAGAGTAAGGAGCACTGATTTGCCAGCACTGAAGAAGGAAATGAAGCGAACGCTGAGACCAGCTAACCCCCAATTTCACCAATCGTAGCTGATCGTAACCATTCAAGTTAACGTGTCAATTTACACCGACTTCTTTCCGTTCCTCTGCGGATCGCCGGACTCCTCAGCTGATCACAAGAGTTCTATTTTTTCTGGACGCCGGAGCATGGCGGATAAATTCAGCACAGATTAACCCGTGCTGGAAAGGAAGTCGGGCACAGACACAAAATAAAACATCCGGCTTCTTTTCAAAATAAAACACTCCGTGTTTCAGGAGGATCGTATTTCACACCATGCAAACGGGCGGAGACGAACAAGTGAAAGGTTTTTAGACGTCATTTCACCCCGATGACACCATGGATGAGGAGATGCTGATTCTAGAAGTCTAGAAGTAGATTTCCTCCTCTGGAAGGACACAATCTACTGCTTATATGTCTATGTGTCTGTCTTTATAGAGACAAATGGTTATCGTGCGATTGAACGTGAATCTGCAGGTTCTTGTGACGCTGTCTGTAATCCGCCACAAAATCCGCCTAAACAACAGATCCAGTAGGAATTGGCAGACGGCAAAAATCGCAGCCGTTCCAGATCAGAGCTGTTCCGGATGCAGTGAAAATTGGGGGTAACACTGAAGTGTCTCCTGAAGATGGTGACAGGTTGAGGTGGTAAATAACATTTATAACAGTGAGTATGTCAGTGACTAATATCTGTTTTTATTTTTTTAATTTCATGTTGTCTTTATTTTTTCTGTCTTTTTAACGTGTGGAGGAGCTGCAGATCATCAGTGTTTTTAAATCGATTCATTATTTTACCTTTTCGATTTGTCAGGGACGTCCATCAAAACACTCTGTCCCTGTGAAATATATATAAACATACAAACATATTAACATATAAACATATTTACATATATATATACAGGGATAAAATAAGTCTGAACGAACGATAAAGAGAAACTCTGAAAACTTCACAGACACAAAAACAGAAACTGAAAATCTGCAGACCCACCAGAGCTGCTCAAAGTGTGTGTGTGTGTGTGTTTTTGTGTGTTTTTGTGTGTTTTTGTGTGTTTTTGTGTGTGTGTGCAGCATGAAAAGCAGCCGGTGTGATCCCAGTACAGTCCAATCAATACATGGTTATAGATCGTAATCACGTGAAGCGTATAATCGCCTAAAACCTATCAATTATAGAGAGCCAGATAGCCGGGGCCTCCAAATCCTGGCCCGCAGCCCTCTTCCTCCTTGGATTAGGATCTGAGATTGGGTCAGGATCATAGGGGCTGCGCCCGGCCGGCCAGATATCAGATTAATGACCACTCCAGGGGCTCCGAGCTCAGCCAGCAGTTAGAGTTACTGCACAATAAATAATACATCATTTGGTCTGGGAGCTGACATAATTATCACCTAAGACACAGGCGGCTCCGCGGACCCGGAATCAGACCTCTCAGACCCACATCAGAGTCAGCACGGCCGGACGGCAAACAACAACACACATTCACACTGTTAACATATGATCTACACACAAATACACACATCAGGCTGCCGTCACAACCGCACAACACACTCTACACAACCACAATAACACACTCTACACAACAGCACAACACACTCTACACAACCACAATAACACACTCTACACAACCACAATAACACACTCTACACAACCACAATAACACACTCTACACAACCACAATAACACACTCTACACAACCACAATAACACACTCTACACAACCACAATAACACACTCTACACAACCACAATAACACACTCTACACAACCACAATAACACACTCTACACAACCACAATAACACACTCTACACAACCACAATAACACACTCTACACAACCACACAACACACTCTACACAACCGCACAACACACTCTACACAACCACAATAACACACTCTACACAACCACAATAACACACTCTACACAACCGCACAACACACTCTACACAACCACAATAACACACTCTACACAACCACAATAACACACTCTACACAACCACAATAACACACTCTACACAACCACACAACACACTCTACACAACCACACAACACACTCTACACAACCACAATAACACACTCTACACAACCACAATAACACACTCTACACAACCACACAACACACTCTACACAACCACAATAACACACTCTACACAACCACAATAACACACTCTACACAACCACAATAACACACTCTACACAACCACAATAACACACTCTACACAACCACAATAACACACTCTACACAACCACAATAACACACTCTACACAACCGCACAAGACACTCTACACAACCGCACAACACACTCTACACAACCGCAATGACACACTCTACACAACCACAATAACACACTCTACACAACCGCACAACACACTCTATACAACCACACAACACACTCTACACAACCACAATAATACACTCTACACAACCACAATAACACACTCTACACAACCACACAACACACTCTACACAACCACAATAACACACTCTACACAACCACAATAACACACTCTACACAACCACAATAACACACTCTACACAACCACAATAACACACTCTACACAACCGCAATAACACACAACATGAAAACAGGGAAAGAAACGACAGAGTCATGATCAACAAACGGAGATATAAACTCGATTAGTGATGGAAGATCAGTTCTTTTGACTGAATCTTTAGAATCTGTTCATTAAAACGATTCGTTCAAAAGATTCGTTCACTGAATCAGTCAGAGATTTGGAGTCACGGCGTCGTTCACTGGGGGACTCATGTCGTTCATTCGCCAAGTCGTTCATTTCGTTCACAATCTGACTAATACATGTCGAGCAAAGACAAGACTCCGCTCACCCGCTCGCTGTGTGTCGTTCGCCAAAGAGTCAAAGGCGGCAGTTCCACTCCAGACCGGCACGCCAGGCTCGCAGCTGAACTGAACTGAGAAAGGAGCCAATCAGGTCTCAGAGTGATTCACGTCGTTCACTCAGCGGTTCAGTTCTTTTGAACGACACAACACTATACTCTATGTATCTATATCTATATCATTCTAGATCTATACTCAGATCATTTAGAGGAGAAACACTCACTGATGATGGATTAACTGTGAACCGAACATCTATGTAACTCAGTCTGCAGGTCACACACAGAGTCCCAGTCTTCTGGTTAGTGAGCCAGGTTTGGACCCAGACCCAGACCAAGACCCAGACCTGGTTTCACCAGAGAAGAGGAACGGGGTGCTTAATTCATGAAGATCAGACCTTCGTTAAACTGATGACCTTCAGATCTTCATTAAGTCCAAAAAGTCAGTACGCTTACATGACGCTCGAGAAAACCGAATTATCGCCTTACTCTGATTAAGACCGAACAACTGAAGGTCATGTAAACACCTTAGAACTCCGATAAAGACACCCAGATAATGCGATTGGAATTCGATTTTCTCCGCCATGTAACCAGCGTAGTCGCAGTATGATCCATAACCTCAGAACAAACCCCCAGAGTAGAGGAGTAGCGTTGGTCTCCTCTTTAGAAAAAGTAGCGCGTCCATCATGTCGGACAAAAACAACGCTGTACGATGCTCCATCTTCTTGTTTCTCCAAAATGCCCAGCAGCAGTTGTAGACACTTCTGACGTCTGACACCGACCAGAAACAGCGCCGCTGAAAAGACCCATATCGCCCCCTAGTGTTGGGGAGGAGGACACGTTCACGTCAATGATTTTGACCCAAACAGTTTAGAGAAGTTCAGCTCTTTTACCATCGAAGGGTAAAAACTTTAATTTAGAGATCCTCACACACAGACGGAGCATCATGGAGGTAGACTGACTACTGACATGGACCCCAACACACACACACACACACACACACACACACACACACACACACACACACACACACTCCCCTGCATGGCTGAACTGGTAAAGTTGCCGTTCCCACAGAAACACCTTGTTGCCAACAGTAAAGCAATTAAAGTCACAGGAAGTCATTCTGTGTGTGTGTGTGTGTGTGTGTGTGTGTGTGTGTGTGTGTGTGTGTGTGTGTGTGTGTGTGTGTGTGTGTGAGGCCTCCTGTCTGATGGCTCTGGGAAATCCAACTACAAAAACAAATATGTATATTTTCAATTTATCTCACCTCCCATACCTGTGCCGCTGCTCCCTCCCTCCCTCCCTCTCTCTCTCTCTCTCTCTCTCTCCATCTCGGCCGCCCTCACTCTCACTATTTAAATTCTGAATTCCTAAGCGGATTTTCTCAATTTAGCCGTACTTTTAATCTTTGGAGAAATGAGTGATGACTTCTTTCAATAAGAAAAAAAAAAAACCTGACAGGCTTACAGCGCACACCGGCGGATTAGTTTCCCGTGGAGATGAGGTTTTCCTTTGTGCCGCTGTGCGTCTGTTTGATGGGGTTTAACAGGAAGCGTCGGGCTGAAATTGGATGCAGCGGGGATCGTGGGTAGATGGCCCGGGTTCGATACAGAGCTCCTGGCTGCAGCTCTGCCCCGTGCCTCCCTTCATTTCCCTCCCTCGGTCCAATAACCGAGCCTTTAAACACTGCTGGACCCAAACACACACACACACACACACACACACACACACACACACACACACACACACACAGGGTTAGGAAATATGCACACTCTGCTCTGAAACCCCGTCTTTGAACAGACCAGGTGAGTCTACCTGCTCGGTTACCTGACCCAGAGTCCAGACTTACAAACAACGTCCCAGTCCAGGAGACCCATAAATTCAGAGAAGATCACAACAGAACGGTGACACCTGAGATCTGACCAGCTGTCCTGACCGCCATGTCGAAGACAGATACTCCTCTTCATCGTCTTAAAGGGATATTCCGGCGTTAAATTAATTTAGAGTCAAACCCACCGTAACACCGAGTTAGACCCCCCCTCCAGAGATGAATGTTGCCGACCGCTTCCTTCTCTAGTTATACCAACTTTAGTAACGACCGCAGGATAGAAATACAGAGAGACACGCCCCCAACCAAAACGCCACTCTATAGCCACAAATAATGCTCAGAACAGCACCTAACTTCATCAACAGGACATATAGGGTCCCAGACATAGTACTAGACACCAAACATCTTTTTAACTTTGACTCATTTCTTTAGCAAAGAGACTAAACACAACTCACCTACTCTCTTCCAGCAGACGCTTGTTTGTAGTGAGACCTCAGACCAGTCCATTACGGACTACAGCGGGGTGCCGCAGCTCAAGGAAGAACATTTATGATCATTTCTTCATGGAAATACAATCAGACCGAGACGCTAAGACAGAAGAACTACAGCATCTGTAAAATGATTAATATGATGATTATTACTTCAAGGAAATGATAAAGAAATGATCATCTCACTGGGGGCTCTTACAGCAATATCTGGTCAGTTGCGCCAACCGGACATTGCTGCGAATTGCCTTTTGCTGTTGGCCTGTTCAACAACAGTGTAGGGAAACCCGATGTAGCGACCGGTCATTTGGATGATCCCATCCAAAACAGCTGGCAGTGCGGCGCAGAGGGATGGCTGCGATATCTCAGACCTATTATTATTGATTTATATTTCCTGAATGGGTAAATTTAAATTAGGCTTCTATTGTGATATAACTGTCAAAATAAATACCTGTCGGACAATTCCCTCTGATACGAGCCTGTTGCCAAGAAACCCATCGTTGTCAGCACTTTAACGTGTGCCGGGATTGCGCGGTTCCGGTGGGTTGGTCGCTCTAAAATTGGGCTCAATTCATCAATTAGATCCAAGGTCGAGGCTCTAGGGAGTCTAAATCGGTTTATCAGCCAGTCGTCATCATGAGCCAAGAAATCTTTCCGATCTCAGAACAACCTCTCCAGTCAGATCCGTCCAATGGCATGGTCTTCAAGAAGCACAAGTGCATCCGTTGTGCCGTATTGCACACGGCGGTCACTGCATGACAATTTTTATGCACTTTTTCCTTTAACCAATCGTTCTCACCTCGTCACGATTGTCTCCTAAATGTGCGTAAGCAAGATGTGGAGTTTGCTTAAAGTTGCCCAACTCTTGTGTTAGAAGTTGCGTACGAACTTCTAAAGAGGCCCCTGAGCATTATCTGTGGCTATAGAGTGGCGTTTTGGTTGAGGGCGTGTCTCTCTGTATTTCTATCCTGCGGTCGTTACTAAAGTTGGTATAACTAGAGAAGCAAGCGGTCGACAACATTCATCTCTGGAGGGGGGGTCTAACTCTAAGTTAATTTAACGCCGGAATATCCCTTTAAAGACTTTATTCCCTAAAATCTGGAGGGTGGAGGATAGGGTGGACGGCAGCCTGTCAGAGCTCCCAGTACAGACTGGTCTCAGACCAGTAAGCTCTGTGTTGGTCTTGTTGAGTCAGCCTGATGGTGGTCAAACTGAGGTCCAGGACTCTCCAGGGTCAGGACAGATGGGAGCAGCTAGACCGGGATCAGACAGTCTGAGACACAGAGCTCAGTGTGAGTGAGGGGCGCAGAGGGGGGAGGACGGGGGAGGACAGGGGGGGGAGGACAGGGGGGTATCTGTGGCCCTGCAGGGTCCCTGTACCTCTGTAATCCAGCATGGAGCTGTAAGCTGCTTTGTTTGCTCGTTTGACTGTGTGGGTGCCATATCCCAAAGCCGGGCGCAGGATTAGTCGCCATTGTGTCGGTGACTGTGATGGTGGGGGGGGGGGGTGATGAAGAAGAAGAAGCAGCATGAACAATAACACCAGTCTTCATCAGTGAGGAGGAGGAGGAGGAGGAGGAGTCAGATCTGGAGATCCGTTTCTGCTCTGCGTTTAGCTAACTGATAGCACAGAACGCGCTCATAAGACTCCACGCCGTCACTTCCTCTGATGTCACACACTGAGGTGAGTCAGGGTGACTGCAGACCGTGACAGATCGCTCCTCTCTGCCGCCTCCTCCACGGGATCTGGTCCTCCTTTTGAGGCTGATCTTGACCTACTTTTCCTGAACGGTGGACAGAGAGCTGCAGTCCTGATGGAGAGCGTAATGACGGCGGCGTGTTAAAGGCGGCGCTCTGATGACACCCCCCTGATGTGTCCGGCCCTCTGTGATTGGCTGAAGAGAGTCTGAAGAGTCTGTGACTCAAAGACCTTCGGAGAGATGTTGGTGGAAACTCTGAAAAACAGAAAAATTACACTCAGGAACCAACGGAGAGGAGAAACCACCTCCATTCACCTCCATCCACCTCCGTTCACCTCCATTTATGTCTGTTCACCTTCATGGTTCAGATATTTAGTCTGAGGAGCATCAGAGGAAGGAGGGATCAGGAGAGAGGAGAGGAGAGGACCACACAGACCAGCTTTGTCGACCTTTGGCCCGTTCCTCAGGACTCTCACACGAGTCTGGTTCTGCTCGAGGGTTCTGCCTGTCCCAGTTTTTCACTCATGTTGGTCGAGTTTCCACCGACTTCTTTCCGTTCCTCTGCGAATCCGGACTCCTCAGCTGATCACAAGACTTCTATTTTTTCTGGACGCCGGAGCATGGCGGATAAATTCAGCACAGATTAACCCGTGCTGGAAAGGAAGTCGGGCACAGACACAAAATAAAACATCCGGCTTCTTTTCAAAATAAAACTGGAAGGACACAATCTACTGCTTATATGTCTATGTGTCTGTCTTTAGAGAGACAACTTGTTATCGCACGATTGAACGTGAATCCGCGGGTTCTTGTGAGTTCTCGTGATTACAGCTGTCTGTAATCCACCACGAAATTTGCCTCATAAACGGATCCGGTATGAATTGGCGGATGGCAAAAATCAGAGTGGTTCCGGATGTGGTGGAATTCCCGGGTTAGAGTTTCTCTTTTGGAAACATCTTAAGATAAGGATTGTTGTTATTTGGCGCTAGATTAAAAAAATGGATTCTTCTGTCTTTTGTTTTTATATCTGAATATTCTTCTAAGTCTGATTCTGGTTTAGATGAACTCCAGGGTGAATGGAGGTCCATAAATGACCCACATGTCTCACTGAGAGGTGAAGTACCTGTCCGTCTGTCCGTCCGTCCGTCTGTCCGTCCTCGTCAGCTGATGAAACCTGCTGGGACTCTCTGCAGCATGAATCTGAACTAAACTCCTGAATATCTCGGAGCCCTGAGGTCACATCTATGGAATATTAATCTGAGATGTTTAACAATAATGTTTTTGACCGACTTAAGGCCTCCTCCTCCTCCTCCTCTCCTCCCTCCTTCCTTCCTTCCTTCCTTCCTCTCTTATTCTCTCTCATGCTCCCTCTCTCCCGCGCTCTCGTTTGCTATTTGAAGCAACTATTAGTGTTTTAACACCACAGGAAAGCGGCTTCATTGAAATGCAATGAAAACTGCACAGAGAAGGCAAAGTTAACTAATGGGCTCAAATTTTCAAACGAATGCAAAGATTAAAGTCAATTGAATCTCCCATCGGGTTTGGAGTGAGAGGCTTTGAACAGAAACCCCACAGTGGGTTCAGACATGAAAAATAGGCCTGTTCTAAAATATTAATCACTTTTTATACCCTCATTACAGCCAGCAATAACATTTGTTCAGGAGAGGAGGAGACGAGGAGGGGGAGGAGGAGGAGAGAGGAGGGAGGAGGAGGAGGAGGGAGGAGATCCTGTACCTGAGGCTAGAGGAGCGAAGAAGGAAAGGAGGAAGAGGAGACAGAGGGTTCACCTGTGGAACGAAGCAATAACATTTGTTCAGGAGAGGAGGAGGAGGAGGAGGAGAGGGAGGAGGAGAGAGGAGGGAGGAAGGGAGGAAGGGAGGTCCTGTACCTGAGGCTAGAGGAGCGAAGGAGACGAGGAAGAGGAGACAGAGGGTTCACCTGTGGAACACAGCAGTAATATTTGTTCAGGAGAGGAGGAGACGAGGAGGAGGAGGAGAGAGGAGGAGAGAAGAGGAGAGAGGCGCTGTACCTGAGGCTGGAGGAGCGAAGAAGACGAGGAGGAGGAAAAGGAGACAGAGGGTTCACCTGGGGATGAAGTGATAACATTTGTTAAGGAGAGGAGGAGACGAGGAGGAGGAGGAGGAGGAGGAGGAGGGGAGGAGGAGGGAGGAGGAGGGAGGAGATCCTGTACCTGAGGCTAGAGGAGCAAAGAAGGAGAGGAGGAAGAGGAGACAGAGGGTTCACCTGTGGAACGAAGCAATAACATTTGTTCAGGAGAGGAGGAGACGAGGAGGAGGAGGAGGAGGAGGGAGGAGGGAGGAGGAGAGGAGAGAGGAGAGAGAGGCGCTGTACCTGAGGCTAGAGGAGCGAAGAAGGAGAGGAGGAAGAGGAGACAGAGGGTTCACCTGTGGAACGAAGCAATAACATTTGTTCAGGAGAGAAAGAGACAAGGAGGAGACGAGGAGGAGGAGGAGGAGGGAGGAGATCCTGTACCTGGGGCTGGAGGAAATGAGGAGGAGGAGAGGAGGAGATCATGGTGTGTTCACGTGTGGAATGAAGGGATAACATTTGTGCAGGAGAGGAGGAGGAGGAGGAGGAGGGAGGAGGTCCTGTACCTGAGGCTGGAGGAAACGAGTAGGAGGAGGAGAGGAGGGAGGAGGAGTGTTCACCTGTGGAACGGAACAATAACATTTGTTCAGGAGAGAGAGAAGCAGGAGGAGGGGAGGAGGAGGTCTTGTACCTGAGGCTGCAGGAGCAGAGGAGCAAAGAAGGAGAGGAGAAAGAGGGTCGAGAATGAAGCAATAACATTTGTTCAGGAGGAAGGAGAAGAAGAAGGAGGAGGGAGGAGGTCCTGTACCTGAGACTGAAGCAGCGACGAAGAAGAGGAGGAGGAAACAGAGTCTTCATCTGTGGAAAGAAGCAATAACATTTGTTCAGGAGAGAAAAAGGGGGGAGGAGGAGGGAGGAGGTCCTGTTCCTGAGGCTGCAGGAGCAGAGGAGGAGGAGGAGAGAAGGAGAAGGTGTGTTCACCTGTGGAACAAAAAAGAGGAGTAAAGAAGAAGAGGAGTAAAGTTGTTTCTGCTCAGAGCTCCTGCTCTCCTCCTCAGATGTTTCTCTGTTTCTGTCCGTCTCTCCTGTTTCTTCTCGGTGAACATTTATTGAACAGAGATCGACTTTAACTGAACGAGCAGGAGGACGTCTGCTGACAGTTTGGTGTCAAAAATAAAATAAATAAAAGAAGAAGAAGAAGAAGAAGAAGGAGAAGAAGGAGAAGAAGAAGAAGGTGTCTGAGTGAAAACCTAAGAGAGAGGAGCACACGTTCCTCAGAGGGCGTCTCTCTCTCTCTCTTCTTTTTTTCTCTCGTTCTCCGTCTTCGGCTCGATTCTTTAAGCAGCAGCAGATCTGCATCAACTCTCTGGCCTAGTTTTTCAACTTCATCTCAAACATGAATTAAAGATATTTGAGCAAACAGCCGTAAATGAAGCCGAGCGCTAAACGAACAACACAGCGCACATTAGGGAGAGAGAGAGAGAGAGAGAGAGAGAGAGAGGGGCGCTCTCATTCTTCGACAACAGCAGATCCAACAACTCTTTGTGTTTCAGACACACACACAGACACACACTCTCTGCTGTCTGTGGAGGATTTAAATGTGTCAAACTCTCATGGAGTGTGAGACAAAGAGCAGCAGCAGCAGCAGCATCAGGCCCACAGGAGTGACAGGAGGAAGATCTGAACGCTCTTCATCCTCGCCTGTAATGGTGGTAGAAGTCATTAAAAACATCACTGCCGGCCTAATTAAGACGGGACATCTGGTCTTTCCTCACGGAGCGGCGTACAGATAACTCCTCCATGACACCACCATGAGAGGTGTCATACATCTCAGTGATCGTCAATCATCAGGGGACTCGACGCAGCCTTCGTCATTAGTGAGCGAACGCGTCTTCGTCTCTGCTGCTCCGACGACTAAATGAGACAAAATACAGAAGATCCTCCGTCTGAGGTTCTGATGGATCAGACCGGACTCTGAGGTTCTGATGGATCAGACCGGACTCTGAGGTTCTGATGGATCAGACCGGACTCTGTGGTCCCTGATGGATCAGACTGGACTCTGAGGTTCTGATGGATTAGACTGGACTCTGAGGTTCTGATGGAGCTGGACTCTGTGGTTCTGATGGAGCCGTGTGTGCTCAGACAGCTGCTGTTAGCTCCACCCTCTTGTTTTACGTTAAATGGGTCACTCAGTCCGTTTCCATGACACTCGAGAAAAGCCGAATTATCGTCTTATTCCGATTAAGACCGGACAACTGAAGGTCATGTAAACACCTTAGTCCGACTCTGATTAAGACACACGGATAATGTGATTGGAATTTGATTTTCTCTACCATGTAACCAGCGTAGTCGGAGTATGATCGGACAATGCCTGTGCGCCACGCCCCCGTAACCCTGGAACAAAAACACCAGAGAAGAAGTGGCGCTATCATTTAATGAATGAAGCACCAAAGAACATCCACTTTAGGAACGACGAGGAGAGCGCCGTTACACTTTCTAACCTGACATTTTAAAGTACACGGAGGGTCACAAAATAAGGAACAGAGACATCTGTAAAAAAGGTCTGGAAACATCGCAGCTGAAAAGACCATATCGCCCCCTAGTGTCGGGGAGGAGGACACGTTCACGTCAATAATTCAATTTTCGATTTTCAATTTCGATTTTCTTGTTGTGCTGTTTTGTGTTTTTGTGTTGTCTTGCATTTGTTGTGTTGTCTTGTGTTGTTCTGTGTTGTTGTGTTGTTTTGTGTTGTCTTGTGTCTCTTGTGTTGTCTTATTGAGTTGTCTTGTCCTGTTGTGTCTGTTGTGTTGTCTTGTGTGTCTCTTGTGTTGTCTTGTGTTGTTCTGTGAGTGTGTTGTGTTGCCCTGTTTTCTTGTCCTGTTGTGTCTCTTGTGTCTGTTGTGTTGTCTTGTGTTGTTCTGTGAGTCTGTTGTGTTGGTTTGTGTTGTCTTGGTGTGTTGCCCTGTTTTCTTGTCCTGTTGTGTCTCTTGTGTTGTTCTGTGAGTCTGTTGTCTTGGTGTGTTGCCCTGTTTTCTTGTCCTGTTGTGTCTCTTGTGTTGTCCTGTGCTGCAGTCCTGTGTACAGTCTGTCTCAGGTTCTGTCTCTCTGACCCCGCCTCATTATGCAGCAGCAGCGACAGCGGCCCGGTTTCAGGTTCTTGTTATGCGGGTGGAGGCTGGAGGCTGGTTTCTGGGTTCCAGTGGGTGGAGGCTGGGTTCTTGGTTCTTTGTTCTGGGTTCCGTTGGGTAGAGGCTGGGTTCTGGGTTCCACTGGGTTCTGGGTTCCATTGGGTGGAGGCCCAGTTCTGAGTTCTGAGTTCCGTTGGGTGGAGGTTGGGTTCTGTGTTCTGTGTTCTGTGTCCCGTTGGGTGGAGGCCTGGTTCTGGGTTCTGGGTTCCATTGGGTGGAGGCCCAGTTCTGGGTTCTGGGTTCTGGGTTCCATTGGGTGGAGGCTGGGTTCTGGGTTCTGCTGGGTTCTGGGTTCTGTTGGGTGGAGGCTGAGTTCTGAATTCTTGGCTCCGTTGGGTGGAGGCTGGGCTCTTGGTTCTG